CGGCTCGGCTGCTGGGCGGCTCGGCGGCTGGGCGGCTCGGTTGCTGGGCGGCTCGGCGGCTCAGCGGCTGGGCTGCTCGGTTGCTGGGCGGCTCGGCGGCTGGGCTGCTCGTAGGAGTAGGCGTGGGGGCCGTAGGAGCAGGCGCCGGGGCCGTAGGAGCAGGGGCCGGGGCCGCTAGGGCGGTGGATCGGGGCCGCGAGGGCGGCGGATCGGGGCCGCGAGGGCGGCGGAGTAGGGGCCGCGAGGGCGGCGGAGTAGGGGCCGCGAGGGCGGCGGATCGGGGCCGCAAGGGCGGCGGATCGGGGCCGCGAGGGCGGCGGAGTAGGGGCTGCGAGGGCGGCGGATCGGGGCCGCGAAGGGCGGCGGATCGGGGCCGCGAGGGCGGCGGAGCGGGGCCGCGAGGGCGGCGGATCGGGGCCGCGAGGGCGGCGGATCGGGGCCGCGAGGGCGGCGGAGTAGGGGCCGCGAAGGGCGGCGGAGTAGGGGGGGGCCGCGAGGGCGGCGGATCGGGGCCGCGAAGGGAGGCGGCCGGCGCCGCGAGGGTGGGGCCGCGGGGTCGCTAGGGTAGGGCGACAGAGCCGCGAGGGCGGCTCGAAGGGGCCGCGAGGGCGGCGCGAAGGGGCCGCTAGGGCGGCGCGAGAGAGGGGAGCGCGACTCGGGCAGGGGCTGAGTGCGCTCCGGGCAGGAAAAAAAAAAAACGGTGGGCCCTAGGAACAGTTCCCACGAGGGAACCTGCTCGATACCATGAGAAGAAACAAGGAATGAAAATGACTAAGGGAAAGTTGGGTACAAAATACAAACCCTAGAAAACTGTACCCCATATGTGCTACCCCACTATAGCCTACAGTAGCTCTGTCATATAAATCTGACAATACTCTAGTAAAAGTCCTCTTAGGAAAATTTCTGACCTTCACTAACCTTAAGGGATTATACCCAAACGGCCCAACGAACTTCTGCTCCCGAAGACATCTACATCCGCATGTCTACCAGATATGGCATATCCACCCATGGCGCTCCCCCCCCAATCTCCTGCTCCTCACCCCTCCGATCCACCCTGTCCGCCTCGGCCTCCCCTAGCATATAAGCTGCCCGCAATAAGATCACCCGAACCTATGCCCTCTGCAAAGCTACCCCCACCGCGGCCGTCAAGGACCCCACCAAGTATGCTAAGAAACCCGTGCTGTTGCCCCTTCCCACCCCCTTGTTTAGTGCCACCTTTAGATGAACATCCCCTTGCTGTCGCAACCACTAACGGAAACTCCCCCCCAAGCAGCACCAAGTCTCAAGAATCAACGGGACGAAACGAACCCCTTTGTGCCGCTGCAGAAAAGGATGGTAGTCCACCGCTTTCCTCCCCTCCCGCTCCTTGGCAGCATAACCAACCGTCCGTCCACACTGCCCATGCTGCTGCACTGATAGAGAAACAGGGTCGACGACGCTCACCTCCAACGCATGTGCTTCCCCATCCATCGGTCTCCTAACCGCCACATCCACCCTCTTCCCCGCCAAAAGCGTGTCGTCCTCAACTGTAACCACCCCACCCGATGCCTTGGCTATCTTCGCAACCACCAGCTTCACTACATCATGAACGCGAGAAGATGTGTAAGAAAGGGATGAGGCCAGCGAAAGGAGAATCGCGGAGGTCGTCAAACATTGCGTGTCGATGGAAGGAGTTGAAGGCATTCGCCACATCAATCTGCAGCGCACACCACGACGGATGAATCGCAAGAGCAAAGCGGAAAGCGTGTGCTAGAATTTCTACCCCCGACCTAGTCCCCACCCCCAGTTGGTTACACGGAGCAAAGTGGGACTCCATGTCAGGCCGGAGGAGAATGCAGAGTGCTCTCGCCAGAATCCGAGGGAGCACCTCTCCGATAGCCACCGGCCTCACATCTCCGTTCGGCTTGGACAACCCCACCAAGTTTAAGGCTGCGAGCCATGGCCGCACCCGCTCAGACATGCATCCCGAAATCCACTGCTTGAAGACCTCCAGCAACTGTGGGAGATAGGAAGGCTCCGAGAGGAAAGTGTCCCTGAGGTGCTCAGTCATCCATCCAGAAGGCTCTGGTGCTGAGGTTCGTACTGCCGAATAGATGGCATGGCTGAGAATGTCCCCAGTGAGGTGAGGAAGGCGGGAACTGTCTATGTGAAAATGCTCCACCCACTCAGGAACTGCCACTGCACTGGCAGTGTGTTTTGCTTTTAGCCTGTCCACTGTCAGTTGAGAGGGCTGCGCCAAGTCGCTCGCGGTTAGGCAAGCCAGTCCCCGACTCCACTCCCCCACCTGTCACCTCGTGCGACATCGAGCCAAACGGATAGCATCAGCCTCTCACTCAGGTAAGGAGAAGGCAAGAGGTCGCGCCGCAGGGGTCAATGCAGTAGTGGCGGCCTCGAACAACTGTCGCCATTGTCCTTCCCAGAACTTCCCCAAGCGCTCAACTATGGCTGCTCTCCGTCCAACGCCCTCCTTCGCTGGTACTCCCAGGATAAGGCGTGGGAAGGCCATGAACATCAGCGTCGCCGCTTCATCCCTAGGGGAAGCCTTGAGTTGCTTAAGAATGCAGCACAACGCGTTGAGCACACCCAAACGTGCCCGCTGCGGGATCCAACGAAGGAGCTCACCCGACACATAATGGATACTGAAGAAATTCTCCCAGTCCCATGAAGGCACCGCCGCCCAAACTTCCTCGCTAATATCCCGTGGAAACACATGATCCATCTCCACAGACTCACTCAGGTTTGGGGAGGAACTAAGGGCTTAGGCTCGGCGTTGGGAGAAAAGGTGCCTCAAAATCTAGTACGGCACTCGGGATCGTATAGCGGGGATCATGGTCACACAGGTACTTCCTTGACGAGAAGGCACAGTTACAGCTCGCTGGCGAAAATAGCATCAGCGTCTCGTTGCGTTCGGTGAAGTGCCCATGCAAGGAGCCTTCACGGAAGCAGGAATTGGCTTGGCACCCAGATCAATCACTCTGTGCACGTAATCGAGCGTTCTACAACGTAAAGCACCTGATATAGCCGCGCCCTATGACCTTGGTGATCGTCATATTTTCCTTGCCGGTAGTCACAAGGAATCCAGTTCCTCGAGTGAACTGGAGCTGTTCTGACATAGAAGCTAGTAGCCCTGATGGGACCAGAAGGGGTGTGGCTGCTACAGCTGCCTCTGCTACAGCCACTGCGGCCCTCCCCTTGCTGTTCTGTAGGTAGCAGTGTCGCCGGCTGTAGCAGAAAAGCTGCTGTTCAGAGGGCTGCTGCTCATGGCCCTGCAAGAGAGGCTCGGCAGGTGAGAGGTAGGCTGGTGAGAGGCTTGAGGTTTGGCAAGAGGTTTGCTTTTGTTCTAAGTTGGGTAATTTCCACACCTCACCAAGTACAGTCTTTCCTAGCAATCCGATTCCACTGGGTTGGGTAATTCTTTTCTTACCCTTGCCTGTCATGGTACATCTCAGCACTGAAGTCAAGGTTAGTCAACACAAAGCATGCTTTGTCAACTCAAATCACCAGGCCAAGTCTTGTTTGATTAAATCACCTTCCTTTGCTATCCCCCTTCCTGCCTCACTCCCTTAGGATCGACGCTGCCATGCTCTCTGCAGCATTTTTCGCCCTTTTCCACCTCTCCCTTTCCCTGCTCTTCCCCAACATGGCCCTTGGGATTGCCACTGGCCTGCTCACTGTCTCCTCCAATAGCGTCTTGCCAGCTGTCGCCCTGCACACCACATACAATGCTTCTGCTCTAATCTACGCCCTCATGGTTACGACGATTGCTTCTGTTTAGCAGGCAAAGAGCTATATACCTGTTTCATGTTCGTGTAGTTCCGTACGTTCCAATTTCTGCCAGAGCTACGCCCTCGTATCTCAAAATGAAGTGAAAACCAATGTTACACCCGTACTAGCTGGTTCAAATGCTGGATTGGACGCACTGATTCAATGTAGTAAGCTCTTCTACTCCATTATAGGCTATGGAACCTCAAAAGGAGTGCACAAGAGGTAATAATAAAAATTTAGTACCTGTGTCTGAATGTGCGGGTTTGCGCCAATACCGGTAGCTCGGTTTTCTTTAAAGGCGGATGCGTATGGCAGGGCTGACAGGCCAAAGAATGTTATCTGGAGTTTCAGGCGCCAAAGCGACACCGCGAATTTGTTATCCAGGAGACGAGAGCAAGAGGGGGAGAGTAGGATGAGGATGTAGGCATGGTTTGGCTGTACGGCGATTAGACGTGCGCGTGACATTAGTAGCACTGATAACGCCGCGTTATAAGAGGCGGCCTTTTCTCCTGTCGTACGTTGTGTGGATGGCGGCCTCTTCTCCTGTCGTACGTTGTGTGTTTCAAGCAATCATTTCGGCATAAGAAATTGAGAAAAGAAGCTTTTCAACGATGTGGAGCCGTAAGCGAAAGCCGCGACTGGCGAAGATCGAAGACGAGTTTCCCGCTAGTGAAGGGGACCGAAGCATCCAGGAACCCGACCCGTCCGTGACGTCGTCCCTAGAAGGTGGATCGCCGGCAGCGTCATCTGCAGCAACAGCTGCGGCGCAGTCGTCTCAATCCGCATCAGAAGCATCCGCAGCAGCCGCAGGAACAGCTTCAGCAGCAGTGGTGCCAGCAGCGACGCCTACCAGTCCCGTCAACCCAGCAATCCCACCAGCGAGCGTTGCTGAAAGACCCGGGGAGAGAGCAGACGCTGGTTTCAACGATGCTAAAGAAGCGGTACGAGCTACTGCTGTTGCTGAGAATGACGATCCGGTCACCGGGTCCAGAGGTTTTGGAGGTGGTAACTCTGGGGGATTGGACGATTCTGGTGCGATTAATAACGCCACGATTTCCCAAGAAGAAACTGAGAATAGTAGTAACAGGACGTTTGTAGATTCTACAACTGGTGAAGGAGGAGGAAGTGAGCAGGAGAATGAGACAGGCTCCACTTCGGCTGCTGCTGATGCTGCTGCTGCTGGTGGCGATGATGGTGATGCTGCTGCTGCAGCTGGTGTCGCTGATTCCGAGTTCATGTCAGAATCCCCCGTTCGTTACGTTCCCCTGGCTTTCGATATAGTCACATCCGGTTTGGAAGACGAGATCAGCCTGCTGGAACGGCTAGTGGCGAACCATTTGATATTGTCACAATTCGAGCTCGCCAGAGCGGCTGTCAGGGACCTTGCACGGCTCAGCCGCTCCCGTGCGATTTCTCTGCTCAGGAATGTGATTGTAAGGAGGGGAGAGATTCCCGGGGCATCGGTGCCGTCTGCCGCCCATCTGACGTGGCTGTGCGTTGGGGAATACAGAGAGCTGCGTAAGGTGCAGGGAGAGCGGGGAGAGAGGGAAGAGCGAGAGGATTGGGAGAGGGGAGAGAGGGGAGAAAGAGGCGATTGGGTGAGCGGAGAGAGGGAAGAGAGGGGAGACAGGGGTGACTGGGTGAGGGGAGCAGATAGAAGAGGCTCTGAAAGGGGTGATTGGACGGCTGCTTCTGCAGCTGATGAGGACGGACAGGGAGAGGAACAGGAGGGGGAGGAGGAGGGAGGAGAGGAGCGAGGAGGGAGGGAAACAGGCGAGGGTTTGGAGGAGGAGAGAGTGATGGCGGATGAAGCGGAATTTGACTTGTATCTGGCCCAGCTCTCACTCAAGGTGCATGAATCTGCATTCTCAGAAAGAGTGGATCGTCCTGTAACGCGTACAGGCGAGCAGGAGGGGTTATCTGGAACAGGTAGAGGAGTGCAAGAGCGAGAAAGGGAGGAGGGAGGAGAGACGGAGAGAGAAGGGAAGGACAGAGAAGAGGAGGCTTTGAGGAGAGGGGAGAAGATTCGTGCAGCAGTCACACTGCTGCATAACCGATCGCTCTGGGGCCTTCCCAGTAAACCCCTGGTTGTGGGGAGTAGGCTTAGTGCCAGTGAAATCGGGAAAGAGGCGAAAGAGGAAGTGTTGGAAGGGTCAGCAGAGGCAACTGAGTCAGTAAGGTCTGCAGTGGTTGAAGAGAGAGGGGAAGTAGCAGCGGAGCAGGGACAAGGCCATGTTGAATCAATCATCCCTGATGCAACACCTGTCGGCGTTTCATTGGTTGTTGGAGAATACCCAGAGATCCTCGACGAGCTTTCCAGGAACGTTCTTCGCCAGAGGAGGGCTAGGAGGAGGATGACGGCGGCAGCGTCGCGAAGAGAGAGACTTGAAAGTGAGGGTAATTTACCCTTGCAAACATGGCCACCAGATGTGCCGGCTGTGAGATGGGTGCAGGAGGCCCATCTGGGGGCGGTGGCATCTCTGCTGGAGGCGAAGGACGTGAAGGGAGCAGTGGGCCGTCTGCGGTACCTGAACGTGGAGTATGGGGCTGTGGAGGAGGCTCATTACAGGTGAGTACTGAGCAGGGCTGAGGCTTCAAAACGCGGAAGTGAAGAGCACGGGGCTCTGATGGAGGAGGACGCCCACTGCATGGACATTGAGTGATAGAAGTTGAGTTTTGAGACGTCTCAATAATCAACTTCTATCACGATTAGGACGCACAGTGCATGGACATGCCTTTTAAGGGTGAGCATCCGAGCGTTGAGCTAAGATGCCAACTGTTTTCGACATTACTTCCTCCTTTTTTTTCTTTTCTTTTTTTTTGCCCTTGGTAGGTCCGCCCTGCACCAGTTGGTCCTTGCACTGCGGCCTCAGGTGCCCCAACAAGCGCCGTCCAGCACTCCTGTTTGGACGGCAGTGAGGAAGGAAGAGACAAGAATTGCCGTCCAGGAGCTGCTAGCGTCCGGTTCAGTCCACCTGATCAGGCAGTTTCAGGTGCTGATGGCTTGGGGGGATATGATGGTAGTGTGGATGCGATGGGGTATGGGATGGGTACTATTGCTTGGGTTGGGGGTGTGATTGCACAGGGTTATGATGGAATAAAGTTTGTGTAACAACGTTCTTCCAAGCCACACTTTCAGTGAATAGAGTTTACTGAAAGTATGGCTTGCTCTGATGTTCACAGTCCCTTACCATCCCGCCTTTCTCCTCCCCCTCTCTTCTCCTCCAGGCTGTATGGGACGATCACATTCACAGCGAGTCCCAGCAATCCGCCCGCCACTCCCCTATCGCCCCTCCCTTGGAGGCCTTGCACGCCCTGCTGCTGGCACACGGGCAAGCTGGCAGCAACCCTGCAGCAGAATCAAATAAAGCAGAGGACAGCCCAGAAGCGACTGAAGTGGAGGGCAAACTCGAAGCTGCTGCGATTCACATAGAAACTTCTTCGTCACACTCATGTGAAGCGGCTGGATTGGAGGAGGTGGAGTGGGACGAAGGAGAGCCTAGGGACGAAGGAGAGCCTAGGGACGAAGGAGGTGGTGTAGAGCGCGGGGGAAGAGAGGATGTGGGAGGAGAGGGTGTAAGAAGGGGGAGTGTGGTGGAGGAGAGGTGTGTGTGGGAGCTTGTGGAGCATGCGAGAGTGGAGAAGCGAGTGGTGGTGGGGAGTGTGCTTGAGGGAGCTCTGGCTGCTGTGCATGCGGGGCAGTTCAGCAAGGCCAACAATGTGAGTGATTCATGCAAGGGGCGATTTTGATTCATGCAAGGGGCGATTTTGATTCATGCAAGGGGCGATTTTGATTCATGCAAGGGGCGATTTTGATTCATGCAAGGGGCGATTTTGATTCATGCAAGGGGCGATTTTGATTCATGCAAGGGGCGATTTTGAGAATTCTTGAGTCGACTCAAAAAGGGGAAATGAAGTGAGTCGACTCAAAAAGGGGAAATGAAGTGAGTCGACTCAAAAAGGGGAAATGAAGTGAGTCGACTCAAAAAGGGGAAATGAAGTGAGTCGACTCAAAAAGGGGAAATGAAGTGAGTCGACTCAAAAATCGCCTCATCACACACGTGCAAGGGGCAATTCATCACACACGTGCAAGGGGCAATTCATCACACACGTGCAAGGGGCAATTCATCACACACGTGCAAGGGGCAATTCATCACACACGTGCAAGGGGCAATTCATCACACACGTGCAAGGGGCAATTCATCACACACGTGCAAGGGGCAATTCATCACACATGTGCAAGGGGCAATTCATCACACACGTGCAAGGGGCAATTCATCACACACGTGCAAGGGGCAATTCATCACACACGTGCAAGGGGCAATTCATCACACACGTGCAAGGGGCAATTCATCACACACGTGCAAGGGGCAATTCATCACACACGTGCAAGGGGCAATTCATCACACACGTGCAAGGGGCAATTCATCACACACGTGCAAGGGGCAATTTTGAGAATTCGTCATTCCCTTGGACCTTCATAGCCCCCTCCCACCCTGCCGCCTGCCTGCCCACACCATCCATGTCTCCCTCCACCCCTCTTCTCCATCCCTCCTACAGATGCTCCATCTGTGTCCCCCTCTCTGTCCCCTCACCACTCTCGTCGCCTGGGACCTCACACGCCCCTCGCACACCGTTCCTGCTCATGCCCATCTCTCTCTCTTCCTCCCCTCCTCCAGTTTTGAGGCGTCTCACACCGTTCCTGCTCATGCCCATCTCTCTCTCTTCCTCCCCTCCTCCACTTCCTCTCCCTTCTGCAGATCCTCGGCTTGTGCCCCCCTCTCCGTCCCCTCACCACACTCATCGCCTGGGACCTCATAGGCCCCTCCCACCCCGCCATCCGCCTGCGTCTCCTTTGGGCTCTCTGGCCTCATGAGTCTGCCTGTGCTCTGCTGCTGCCCCATGAATCCGCCCATTCCCTACTGCCAAGCAAGCCTCTCGCTGACAACCCCTGGTCGTCGCAGCTGCTGCAGCAGGCTGGCGTGTGCTGCTCTCACCTCATCTACCACGCACACCTGGCATTACTCATTGCTGCTCGCCACGCTGCGTTTCACCCGCAGCAGCAGCAGCAGAAAGGCCGCCATAATCTGCAGCAGCAACAGCTTAGCCCTGACCACCACCCGCAGCATCAGGTACAGCAACAGCAGGAGCTGCAGCTGCATGCCTCCACCAATGCAGCACGTGTGTGGAGCCCTAAGGATGAGACCACACGTGTGTTGAGTCCCAAGAGTGTGGCTCGCATGGTGCGAGAAGCTGACCCGTTGGTTGCACGGCTGGCGCTGGAGCTGCTGCAGGTGCAGCCGCCCCTGCACGTGCTGCTGTCTCTGGGCTCCGACCTCTTTCGCCCGGGAGAAATCATCCAGCTGCTGCAAGCCCAGCCGGGAGCTGGAGACAGCATGGTTGGCGGCGGCGCATCTGGCAGGTGAGATATGGACGAGCATGGCATGGTGCGAGCAGCCATCCTGTTTGTTGCACGGCTGGCGCTGGAGCTGCTGCAGGTGCAGCCGCTCCTGCACGTGCTGCTGTCTCCTGGTGCCCGCTGCTTCCGCCCGAGAGAAGCCATTTAATTGGTGGAGGCCCAGCCTGGATCTGGGTGCTACAGCGTACACAGCGAGACATCTGGCAGGTGAGATGGGCTCCTACACATGCTGTTTGCTTCTCAGGCTGCAGAGAGAGACTGCCGTGCATGCAATGGAATAGCAAGTTCCGCCTCCCACTTTATGGCCTTTCCTGCTCGCCCTTCCCAGGGACTGGGACGTGGAGTGGAGCTCCTTCACATGCTGTCTGTTGGGCGGCCAGGCAGCAGAGAGTGCCATGCATGCCAGTGAAGAGAGTTTCAAGGGAGGATTTTGTTGTTGGACGGACGGATTGGGTCAGACTGCGAAACAAGTTCCTCCTCTTCCCTGTGCGTGTCTCCCTGCTCCCTCTCTCCCCAGGGACTGGGACGTGGAGCTCCTTCACATGCTGTTTGGCGCCCAGGCAGCTGAAACTGCCGTGCATGCCATGGCAGGGAGCGGCAGGGAAGGAGAAGGAAAGGGGGGAGATGGAACCGGAGGGGTGCAGCATGGAGCAGCAGAGGCGATGAGGGCGGTTGCATTGTTTGAGCATCATGCAGCCCGTGTCACCACTGCTGCTCGCAAGGTGAGTCCTGGCCTTTCCAGTTTTGGTGGAAAGAAGCAAGGGGATAGGTGCAGTGTGGGGCAACAGAGGCAATGAGAGCGGTAGAGTCGTTTGAGCATCACCACAGCAGCCCGTGTCACCACTGCTGCCCGCAAGGTGAGGAGGGCAGGGGTAGGGATGAATTTACATAACTGCATGTATTGCAGCGAGGCACCAACAGGGCAGTTGCGTTTTTAAATAATTGATCACTGACCCTTGTCGTTCTCCTCCCTTGATCTCTCTGCGCGTCTCAGATCTGGATGGGCTACACTGTGCGCTCGCTGCTTCTCGCCGTCTCCAATCCACCTTCCACAACGAATCACAGTCCAGCAGACGACGAGGATAGCCTGGCAGCTGTCACCATGGCCCGGCTCCAGCTCCTGGCCAAGCACGATGCTTCTCATGCTCATAATGATGCATATGCTTCTGCTGATCAAGCTGATGTAGACGCTGCTGCTGCCGGTAACAGTGGAGTTGATGGGTTGAAGAAAGGTGGTGCGACCGCATCTGTAGCACCATCAGTACTCCCGGCAGTGGCACCATCATCAGCCCCTCCGGCTGTAGCAGTAATGGAGTCCTTGCTGGCGGCTGTAGCCAGGCATCTGCCGCCCCAGGGCACGGAGACGCACGGCATGGCTCGTCCTTTTCTGCTGGACGCGTCTCCCTTGAGCGGCGTGGACAGGCGGGCGGCACGGGCACTGCTAAAGCGGAAGGATGTGGGGGAGGTGGGATCTGGTGGTTGTGATGATGGTGCTGCTGCTGCCAGCGGTGCTGCTGGTTCTGCTCCTGCTGCCGCCACTGCTGCTGCTGTTGCTGCTGCTGCTGATGATGGTAGTGGTGGTTCTGCCACTGTTGCTGCTGCCACTACCGCCACTGCTGCCACAGCGGCTGCTGCATCTGCTGCCTTGAAGAGAAGAGAGTCAGAGGAGAAGCAGCTGGGACGGAAGGGACAAGGGAGGCCAGAAGGGGCCAGGATGGCAGAAGCGATCAGTCTTCGGTCCAGAAGGAAAAGGAGGCTGCTTAGTGGGGATGGGGCAGAGGAGGAAGGTCAGGAGCAGGAGGAGGGTACAGGGATGGAAGAGGAGGAATTGCAACAGCTAGGAGGGCTTGGTGTGGAGGGTGAGGGGCGAATGACAGGAGATAAGGGAGATGGAGGGCTGTCTGGGGAGGGTTTGGCTGAACGTGGTTCGGATTCAGATGCTTCGGATTCAGACACTACATTTGATGCTTTAGATGCTGATTTGTCTGCTGAGCTGGATGCTGAGCTGGACGCACAGGCGTCTGACGTGGCAGCGGCGGCAGTGGGAGTGCTGGCTTCTGATTGGAAGCAGAGGGCACAGGTAGTGCGTGATTGGCTGGACGACTGGCAGTGGCGACTGGCTGTGCTGAAAGCTGATTGGCTGGGCGTTCTTGCCAGACGGGGGGAAGGGGAGGAGGGGGAGTTGAAAGAGGAGGCGGTGTTGGAAGGGGAGGAAGGGGAGGAGGAGGTGGAGAGGGTAGAAGGCGAAGCGAGTGATTATGAGCAGGAGGGTGGAACGGACGGACGTGAGAGGAAGGGAGGAGAGGTGAAAGGGCAGGCAGGGAAGGGGAAGGAGCGGCGACTGCGGAGTGATTGGTCGGCATGGGGGTGGCACGAGGTGGTGGCGTGGATGCGAGTGGAGCCCTCTGCTCTCATCTCCTGGTGAGTTACACCATTCTCTCTGGGTCATTTTTTTGGTCTCTGATGCGCCCATTCTTGTTCCTTGGGACGTCTCAAAACACAAGGGGGCGATGGCACGAGGTGGTGGCATGGATGCGAGTTCCGTAGCCCGCTCATTCCCTTTGTTCCTCCTGTTCCCCCTGTTTCCCTTGTCATAATGCAGCTGCTTATCAGTGGGCGACTTCTCTCTCTGCCTGCGCCTCGCTCACTCGACACTTCCCATTGGCCATGCACTCAGAGGCACGAGTGCAGCTTTCCGCGTGCCTGGCTCGCCTCACTCACTCCTGTCCGCCTTGTCCCTCTTGTTCCCCTTGTATCTCCTGCTCCCCCTGTCCTTTCTCGTCAGCTGCCTATCAGTGGGCGACTTCTCTCTCTGCGACGCACTCGCTCGTCGTTTCCCCCTGGCTGTGCACTCAGAAGCACGAGTGCAGCTCTCTGCTTGGCTCGCCCGCCACCATCAATCCAGAGTTGTCCGGTGGGACAGTGTAGGAGGGCGATTGCACGCCAGCAGCAGCAGTGATGGCGGTGGTGGTGGTGATATTGCTGCTGGCAGTGGTGCGAATGGGAGGGGAGGTGGGAGCAGGGGTGGGTTGGAGAGGGTGGGGAGTGTGGAGGCGAGGGAGAGGCGAGTGAGGGAGAACGAGCAGGTGGACACACTCTTCTCACTCTTCTTTGCTCCATCCCTGGCTATGTGGGAAATGTTCCCGGCTCTTCACATGGTACGCGTGGCTCTTCACATGGTACGCGTGGCTCTTGACATGGTACGCGTGGCTCTTGACATGGTACGCGTGGCTCTTGACATGGTACGCGTGGCTCTTGACATGGTACGCGTGGCTCTTGACATGGTACGCGTGGCTCTTGACATGGTACGCGTGGATGGTAATATGTTCCCGGCTCTTCACATGGTACGCGTGGCTCTTGACATGGTACGCGTGGCTCTTGACATGGTACGCGTGGCTCTTGACATGGTACGCGTGGATGGTAATATGTTCCCGGCTCTTGACATGGTACGCGTGGCTCTTGACATGGTACGCGTGGCTCTTGACATGGTACGCGTGGCTCTTGACATGGTACGCGTGGCTCTTGACATGGTACGCGTGGCTCTTGACATGGTACGCGTGGCTCTTGACATGGTACGCGTGGCTCTTGACATGGTACGCGTGGATGGTAATATGTTCCCGGCTCTTGACATGGTACGCGTGGATGGTAATATGTTCCCGGCTCTTGACATGGTACGCGTGGATGGTAATATGTTTCTGTCTCTGGACATGCTATGTGGAGAAGGAAAAGTTTCCTCTCTCTCGACGTGGCATGTGCGAGTACTGGTGAGATAAAGGATTTTCACTCCCCGCATTATTTGCTCACGTCCCAATGTATTTCCCTGCTTTCTGTGTTTTCATGCAGGTGGCAATTCTGTTGGATGCAGCAGCAACACAGGCTCGCACCGCCCCGGACGTCCTTGTGCTGCTCGACCAGGTATGGTCGCATTCTCATTCAGGTATGGTGCTGCTCGACCAGGTATGTCTCGTCTCATTGCTCTTATTTAGAGTCGTAATAAATACATGAAGATGTGATTTTCAGCATGACCTTTTCATTCTTCACTTCAACCTTTGAGGCGTCTCAAAAATTCACTCTTGTTCCTTTATTTCCGTGTTTGCGTCTCAGACATGGCTGTCAGTTTGCCCAAACTGAGATATATTGAGTTCGATTTAAGTTAAGATTCACGCGTTTTTGTTGATTTAAGTTGCATGCCCCCCTCCTCCCTTCCATTAACCAACCCTGCAGGCTCGCACTGTCTTTACAGCCTGGCAGGCGGACCAGCAAGGACTGAAGGAGGAAGACAAGGGCCGAGGAGGGAAGAATCAGCCGGGGAAGCAGCACCAGCAGCAGCAGCAGCAAGAGCGAGAGGAAGACAGTAGCAACAACTTAAACTCAGTGCAGTGGGCTACAGCAGAGCGGCTGCTGCAGCGGCTGGAAGCCATTCAGAACCAGGACCCCACCACACCTCTCCCGAACCTGCTGGCCGCCGTGCAGCCGCACCTGTCGCCATCCCCGGGCCTATCAGGCTCGGCAGGGGTGCGGCGGGGGCCCAAGGCTCGGGCGGTGATGGCGCTGCAGCAGGTGGTTGCGGATTGCGAGGCGGGCACGGCGCAGTTTGTCAGTGGTATGTGCATGATTGACCATAAGAATGGGTATGGGTGCGCTTCCCCTTGCAGTTGTATGTGGAATTCACTGGTCATTGGGGCCCCGAGGCTCGGGCTGTGAGTGATGGCGCTGCAGCAGGTGGTGGCAGATGATGAGGCGGGCACGGCACAGTTTGTCAGTGGTATGCGAATCTTTTCCTTTTTAAAAAAAATTGGAGATTTCTCATCTGCATTCGTACCCACAACCTTATCCAAGCCTTGGAAGGTTTTACGTTAGCAGACTCCCACCCACTAATCTCCCACTTCTGCAATTATCTGATGGATCCTTTTCTCGCCCCCTCCAGGTAAGCTTCACAATCGCGTCCGATCCGAGCCTTGGAAGACGCTGCCTCAGCAGACCCCCTCTAATGCCACTCCACTCTCTTGCTCTCCTCCTTGCCATCCATTACCACCCACCCACTCTTTCCTTCCCTCCCCGCTTCCCTGCGCCCCCCCCCCTTTCCCTTCCCTTCCCCTTTCCATTGCCTGCAAGCTCTACAGTTTCATCCGAGCCTTGGAAGATCCCGAACCAACAGTCCTTCAGCACTCTTCTTCTCTTTCTCTTTCAACCCCACACAACCCCCCGTGCTTCTCGAATTGCTGTCTTGCCCTTCGTTTCTCCCACTCCAGGCAAGCTCCACAATCTTATCCGAGCCTTGTAAGACCCCGAACCAGCAGCAGACCCTCTTTAATTCCCCTATGTTGCTCCTCTCACCCCTACCCACAACCCGCCCGCCCTGCTTCTTGTTCCTACCCCTCCAGGCAAGCTCCACAATCTCATCCGAGCCTTGGAAGATCCCGAACCAGCAGCAGACCCACTCTCCCAGGTCATCCCCGCACCTGCCATGGCTGCTGGCCAGTCAGGGTCCGCCATGTGTCCCCCTCCTGGCAGCGGGCTTGGCTTTGGCATTGGGCTGGACGTGATCTTGCCAGAGCAGCTTGCTACAGACGCTACAGCCGATGCTGCTGCAGCCACAGGAGACGCTACAGCTGCTGCTACAGCCGGTGCTACAGCTGCTGCTACTGCAGCCGGTGTTTCTGGGCTGAGTACAGCACCAGTAGCAGTAGCAGGGGTAGCAGGGGCAGGGGCTGTAGCACCAGCGGCTGTAGCAGCTGTTGCTGCCAGTGCAGCAGGTGCTGCTGGTGCAGGTGGTACGGGCGGAGGGGATACCCTGGGTGTTGCTGCTGCTGCTGGTGGTGATGGTGCTACTGCTGCTGCTGCTGCTCCTGACGCCGCTGTAGGACCTTCCTTGTCCTCCTCCTCCTCCTTTTCTCTCTGGCGAATGTTGCATGGGGGAGGGGGAGGAGCAGGAGGAGGAGCAGGAGGAGCAGGGGGTGGAGGGGGGCCAGCAAGTGCGCCTGGAGTAAATGCCCCGACTGATTCCCAAGGCTCGGTGGCTGCTGCAGCTGCGGTGGCAGGCCTAGCTTCGGCAACAGGTTCGGGAGGAGTGGGAGTGGCAGCAGATTCTCCTGTGCACCCCCCCCCTCTCTCCCCACGCTGGACTCGATCCTCTTCGAGCCTTGGCCTCTCCGCTGCCGCTGCTGCTGCTGCTGGTGCATCGGGAGCAGCAAGAGAAGGAGCGTTGGAAGCAGCAGTTGAAGAGCTGTCTGAAGGAGGTTCAACCAGGTCTGCCTCCCTCCCTCTTCCCTCAACTGCTGTTAGTACTTCCTCCTCTGCCGCTGCTCCGTCTCCCCTTCCAGGACTATCGCGCTCCTCTGTAGGCGCTGTCAGCATGCCACCTCCCTCCACAACCACTACCATCACAAGCACCCCATCTGCCACTTCAGCTGCTTCAGCACGCACATCTGCTCCTCCTGGTGCCGCGTCAGGTGCCATCTCAGGTGCCTCTTCAGGTGCCAGGGCGTCTGCCCCGCTCCCTCCTGTGCCGCGATCCTCCATGCCCAGTCTCTGGCCCTTCTCTTTCAACTCTACAAACGCCAAGCAGGCTTGTGCTGCAGCAGAGGGGCAGGCTGTAGTGGGTCTACAGTCCCTTCTAGGGTCTAGCACTGGTGGAGAGGCAGCAGGAGCATCAAAAGCAGCAGGAGCAGCAGCAGGAGGAGCAGGAGGGACAGGAGGGGGAGGAGAAAGGGGTGGAGAAAAGGGAGGAGGAACGGCAGGAGCATTATCATCAGCAGCAACAGCAGCGGCAGCAGCAGCAGGGTTGCGAGGGCCGGGGAAGCAACCTTGGGATCATCCCAAGGGTTACCTGCCAGTTTTCTTAAACTATGTGGTTCAAATCGGGGATATTGTTGACGATAGTGACCCCAGCCACCCCTTTAACTACTTCTCTTTACTAAACGTCGACCCAGTGGAGCTTTTAAGAGAGCTTGTATTTGTGAGAGGGGATATTGCTGCTGCATTGCATGTCGCTGGGATCATGGGTAGGGATTCTCTACCTGCTGATATCATCCCCGCAGCTCTCCCGAGCCTGCTGCCGCCAGTGCCGAGCCTGAAGCTCTGCTCTGTGGCTCGGCGTTTCCGAAGCAGAATTCTGGGCAGGTCCGGAGGAGGACCAGGACAGGGTAGGCCCGGTAGGGGCAAGGTAGCAGGAGGAGTGGGAGGGGTGGAAGGTGCGGAGAAGCTTCTGATGCCTTCACCGTATGAGGCGCCGAGGTTTGCACTGAGTATGGACGTGGTTCAGCTGGTTGCGAGAGAGTCCATGGTGCATGCTGTGTTGGCTTGTGTGCTGGGGGCAGAGCAGCAGATTGTGCAAATGCACAGACGGAAGGAGAGAGGGCGTGACATGGAAAAGATAGGTGCAATTTTAGGTGGTGGTGGTGGTGTGGCTGCTGTTGGTTCCGCTGCTGTTGGTGGTGTGGGTAGGGTTGGAGGTGTTTTGGGAAGCGATAGGGGCAGGGGCAAGGGAGGGGGAGTGGGAGGAGCAGGGAGTGCTGTGGAGGCAGAGGAGGAAGCTGCGAAGAAGCTGATGGAATATGCACGCGTGCACTCTGCCAGGTGAGTGAATCCCGTGAATCTTGTGAATCTTGTGAGCAACATAGAGCAATAGAGCACACATTTGGATCCTGTGTTCAAAACAGAAGCACCATCCTTTACCCGGGACGTTGTATCCTTTGCATGTGCAAAATTCTTGTTCCATACATGTGCTTCTTTGTCCCTCCCCCTTCACCCCTCCAGCACCCCAATCATCCATCGGTGGGTCACTCTGCAATATGCAATCCACTCCATCGCCATCGCTGCCGCTAAAGCACCTCTCTCGCTCCTTCCTTCCACCCCTCTCTCTCTCCCCTCCCCCCTCTTCTCTGCCCCCAGCACCCCAATCATCAACCGGTGGGTCACTCTGCAATCCGCAATCCACTCCATTGCCATCGCTGCTGCTAAAGCACCCTCCCGACCTCCCAAGCAGCACTCAGAAGCAGCAGCAGCAGCAGCAGCAGCAGCAGCAGGAGCAGGAGCAGCAGCAGCAGCAGCAGGAGGAGGAGCCACAGCAGGTGGGGGGGGCACAGTGGGCGGAGGAGGCAGAGGCGGGCCAGTGGGTGGGGAGGGTGCAGGGATGGTGGAGGCTGCACGGGTGAGGGGATTAGCGGAGGGAGGAATGCAGAGAACAGCCGTGTCGGTAGGGCAACAGGAGGCATTGAGGGAACAGCCCTTGAGTTGGGGGGGTAGCTCTAGCATTGGAGGGACCTTGCCTGTGCATTCGCCTGGTAGCAGCAGCAGGAGGGGTGGGAGGGCGTTTACCGGGTCAGCCCTCCTGCTTGCAGGGCAAGAGGAGGTACTGAGGGAACAGCCCTTGGGCCAGAGTAGCTCTAGCCTTGGAGGGACCTTGCCTATGCATTCACCAGGTAGCGGCAGCAGGAGGGGTGGGAGGGCGTTTACCGGGTCAGCACTGCTGCTAGCAGGGCAGCAGGGAACACCAAGGAGAGTGAGAGGGGCGAGATTGCCTGGAGCAGGGGGGGCAGCAGACAGTATCGGTGGGCCGGTGGTGGGTAAAGGACAGGTGGGTGAAGGAGGAGGAAGAGGCACAAAACGGCCTCTTGCTGCTGAAAGTGATGTGGTCAAGGTGGGAAGTGGGGAGGGGGTTTCTCTGTGTACAGGAGAAACAAGACATGCGAATGCTGGTGTTGCTGAGAGAAGTGAAACAGGGGAGGATCCAGCTCAGGGGGATCCCAGCACAATGCCAGACCAGGGGGGGGTGGCAGGAGAGGAGAGGAGAGCGAGAGGAGAAGTGAGGGAGGAGCAGGGGACTTGTGAAGGGGCAGCAGCAGCAGCAGGAGTTGCAGGGGCAGCAGGGGCGGCAGGGGCGGCAGGGGCAGCAGAGGCAGCAGGGGTGGCAGGGGTAGCAGGGGTGGAAAGGGTGGCAGGGGCAGCAGGGGCGGCAGTGGCAGGTGGTCGGTTGGAGGCTCTGTTGACAGAGTGGGAGGATTTGCGGCCTGTGAGGATTCACCTGGAGAGGTGAGGATTCACTTTGGGAGGTGAGGAGTTGAAAAAAAAAAAAAAACAGTCATTATTTCTTACAGGACGCAGATTCCATAAGGTGTAGGCAGTTTATTTTTAAGCTATTTTCTTCCTTTCTCCTTCTCCCCCCTCCCCCACTCCCCTCTCCTATCCCCTTCTCCCTTCCCACACCCTTCATCCCCCTTTTTTTCCCCTTTCTCCCAGCCTGATTGCTGACTCGCGATTGGCCGAAGCTCTTGAGCTGGCAGACACGTGGCTGCCTGAGGGGGCGCCAGATCACCTGCTGTGTCTGCTCGTGGAGCAGTCTGAGGGCTCTGATGGTGCCAATGCTGCTCACACGCATACGACAGGGGTAGCAGGAGTGGCAGGAGGAGACATGATGCGGTTCCAGAAACTGCCTGCTACGCAGGCAAGCAGGCTGCAGCAGAGCCCTCGGAGTGGAAGCGTAGGGTTTGCGAGTCCTGGTGGTAGTGGTGGTGGTGGTGCTGCTGCTGCTGCTGCTGCTGGCGGTGCTGGTGGGGGGGGTGAGGGGGGGATTCGTGGTGGAAGTGCTGGCAGGGGGGTGAGGAAGCCGGTGACAGCGGGTGACAGCTGGCGGTTTGTGATTCGTGTGGCTGACAAGGAGCTTGCAGCCACCCTGGCGCTCAGGTGAAATGGGGGATGGATCTGTTTGTTTCATCATGCCATGGCGGTTCTGGTTCTGTGGTGATGACGAGGTGACTTTTGAGTCGACTCAAACGTCACTTCATCATGCCATGGTGGTTCTGGTTCTGTGGTGATGACAGAGGCTTGCTACAAAAAAAAAAAAAAAAAAAAAAAAAAAAACAAAAGCGTTTGTATGTGCCCTTTTTGTGTGCGGGTGTGTGCATATGTGCTGTTTTTTATTCGACTCGAAAATGCTTGTTTTGTGTGGGGCGTGTGTGTGGCATATGTGCTGCTGTGCCTGTATGTTCTCTGTGCATGCCTGCCTGCACCACTACAGGTACCATCACAGCTGGCAGCTGGCACACATCCACACCGTATTCAACACCTGCCTCTCACACCTCCCCGCACACTCGCCCCTGCGGGATCAGGTATGCTCGTTGCCACCTATGTGATCGCATCGTATGCTGAATATGTTTTCTGAGAATTCTCTAAAAACAGATTCCCCGCACACTCGCCCCTGCGGGATCAGGTATGCTCGTTGCCACCTATGTCATCGCATCGTATGCTGAATATGTTTTTTGAGAATTCTCTAAAAACAGATTCCCCGCACACTCGCCCCTGCGGGATCAGGTATGCTCGTTGCCACCTATGTCATCGCATCGTATGCTGAATATGTTTTTTGAGAATTCTCTAAAAACAGATTCCCCGCACACTCGCCCCTGCGGGATCAGGTATGCTCGTTGCCACCTATGTCATCGCATCGTATGCTGAATATGCTTTTTGAGAATTCTCTAAAAACAGATTCCCCGCACACTCGCCCCTGCGGGCCCAGGTATGCTCGTTGCCACCTATGTCATCGCATCGTATGCTGAATATGTTTTTTGAGAATTCTCTAAAAACAGATTCCCCGCACACTCGCCCCTGCGGGATCAGGTATGCTCGTTGCCACCTATGTCATCGCATCGTATGCTGAATATGCTTTTTGAGAATTCTCTAAAAACAGATTCCCCGCACACTCGCCCCTGCGGGCCCAGGTATGCTCGTTGCCACCTATGTCATCGCATCGTATGCTGAATATGTTTTTTGAGAATTCTCTAAAAACAGATTCCCCGCACACTCGCCCCTGCGGGCCCAGGTATGCTCGTATCGCATCTGCTGCACCTCCCGTTTTGAGGCGCCTTGGCGCCTCAAAACTATGTCATCGCATCGCATCTGCTGCTCCTCTCTGTGCATTCTGCAGCATGGAATTACATGTGATTTGAGGCAATTTTGTTATTCTCGTGCCGTTATTCCCTCCCTCGTCCCTTCCTCTCTCCCATGTCCCCCCAAAGATCCTCACCTGCAAGTCATCTGTGGATCAGTACACTCGCATCCGCTCCATTCTCAATGACAGAACCCTTGCCACGTGGCAGCAGGTCAGTGGTTCTTTCATGGCTCCTGCTCTGGCTTCCCATGCCCCGGCTCTCACTCACCCCCCCTCCCCATTGTCGTTCATAGTCCTGTAGTGGCCCCTTTCAATGCATATACTGGCCCTGTACCCACTCTCATTAAACTAGTGTTTGCAAGAGTTGACTGAATGTATCTCCTCCCCTCCCTATAGTCATCCCACCAGTGGCAAGCAACAGGCCTGACTGATCTACTTTGAGAATTACCAAAAGTAGCTCAGTTGTGGACGGTCAAAGAGGCTGCTGCTGCATTTTGAGTCGACTCAAAACAAGAGTAACTCAGATGTGGACGGTCAAAGAGGCTGCTGCTGCTGCGTTTCGAGTCGACTCAAAACAAGAGTAGCTCAGATGTGGACGGTCAAAGAGGCTGCTGCTGCTGCGTTTTGAGTCGACTCAAAACAAGAGTAGCTCAGATGTGGACGGTCAAAGAGGCTGCTGCTGCTGTGTTTTGAGTCGACTCAAAACAAGAGTAGCTCAGATGTGGACGGTCAAAGAGGCTGCTGCTGCTGCGTTTTGAGTCGACTCAAAACAAGAGTAGCTCAGATGTGGACGGTCAAAGAGGCTGCTGCTGCTGCGTTTCGAGTCGACTCAAAACAAGAGTAGCTCAGATGTGGACGGTCAAAGAGGCTGCTGCTGCTGCGTTTTGAGTCGACTCAAAACAAGAGTAGCTCATATGTGGACGGTCAAAGAGGCTGCTGTCGGAGTTACTCCCCTCTCCTTCCTCACTCATCTCTTGCCCTTGCCTCTTCCCTGTCTTCTGTCCTCACCTTCTTCCCTTCCTTCTTATTCTGGCCTTTCCCCACCTTGTGCTGTCCCCACTCCTGCTGCCCTGTTCCCTTCTTCGTACTCAGCCACTACCATGAGAGATTCAGGCTCCCACACGCAGGCCGCCCACAGTGGCGCAGTCACCTAGCTTAAGTAGCTTTAGAACGGTAACACTTGACCATTATATGAGGCGAACAAGACGAGAGATCAGGTTCGCTATGCTAGGCTAGGCTATTTGTGCTTGGCTGCCCAGTCGCGAGTAACTCAGCGTGCTGGGTTGAGCTCGAGCCGCCTGGGCCTTGGATTGGCCCTCGCCAGATTGCCTGTCTCCCGAGGTTCCTGAAATTGTCCCCGAAGCGCCCTGTAACCCCCAATGCTACCAACTTCTCGCTACTCTCTATAACCCAACTACCCCACATGTAGATTGAATAGCACTCGCTACACCCCTTCTACACCCAATTAGCACATGTCTCCAATATGATGCACTTACCATTATATTCGGTGACACTGCTGCTGCTGCTCGTTGAGCCTCGTTCCCCCTCTCTGTTCTCATGCCAGGTTCGTTCTCTCTGCTTTCGCGATCCTGAGTCTGTTTGTCGCCAGCTGGCTGCCAAGGGAGCAGTCAAGGAGGCAGTTGCACTGGCAGAAGCTCACGCTGCTGCTGCTGCTGCTGCTGCTACACCAGCAGCAGGAGAAGGAGCAGCAGGTGCAGGTGTAGCATTGGAGACTGAAACGGCTGCTGCTGCTGCTGCTGCTGCCTTTGCTGCTGCCAGTGCTGGAGGGATGTCATGGGGTGCAGCAGCTACGCGAGGAGCAGCAGCAGGGGCAATGGGAGCAGCACGAGCAGACCCAGTGGGGAGGGTGGGTGGGGCGTTACTAGCAGAGCTGAGGGGGCGCTATCTGGCTGAGCTGATGGGGGGGGATCCGTTACAAGGTGACTCAGGCCCTGCCGTGGGAATGAGGTATCTGGAGAGACTGATGCTGGATGGGGCGAAGGGGCGTGATAGCAGGCAAGTTGGTCTGAGCGATGGGATGAGCGTGAATGGTGGTTCTGCTGCTGCTAGTGATGGTTCTAGTGCGGCTGGTGTTGGTGGTAGCACTGGTGCTTCTGCCTCCACTGCTGCTGCTGCTGCGGGTGCCGGTTCTAGTGGTGGTGATAGAAGTAGGAGCGGAGAGGAGGGGGGAGAAGCGAGGGGGAGAGTGGAGGGGAGGGAGGGAGTGATGGGCGTAGTGCTATCAGCCATGCGGTGGGCGCCATCTCTGCACGCCAAGAAGCTCATTGTACGTATTCCCCCATATGCTTGCTTGCTGTCTTCCATCCATGTCACTTTTGTTCCGACTCAATAGTCACCTCACTCAACATCACCTCACCTTGCTATCAGCCATGCGATGGGCTCCATCTCTGCACGCCAAGAAGCTCATTGTACGTATTCCCATGTGTTTGATTGCTTCGTTCCTTCCTTGTCTTAATCCCAGAAACTGCATCTTGTGCTCAAACAAGCAGCCTTCCCACACTCATGGCCCCTCGTTTTCACACACACCTTTACCCACCCCTCCCCCACGCCTCCCAACAGGTCAATTTTGTTCTCAAGCGGGCGGCTGAGGCAGATCTGCCTCCTGCTGACGTGGCGGATGCCAAGCAGCTCCAGCTAGGCCTGCAGCTTCTGGGAACCTTCCCGGTGGAATGGCAGCAGCGGCTGGGAGGGCAGCATGTGGCCGTGCTGCTGCAGCCGGAGCTTATAGTGGAGAGCCTTATAATGGAGAAACACACATCCCTGCTGCCACAGGTAGGATGCACGTTCATTCATTCATTCTGGTAACCATGCTTGCATGCTAACCCCTGCTTTCCCCCTGCTCGTGCCTCTCCCATTTCTCCCTACTTTCCAGGAAGGTTCTCTTCAACGTGGCCTGTCGCAGGCTACGCCTGGCCTTTCAGATCGCCACGGGGCACTTCCAGCCTCAGACCGTTGGTGCTGCAACTCCCGCTGCTGCCAGTGCTAGCAGCACCAGCACTGGCGGCGGCAGCAGTAGCAGTGGGGGTGGATTCGGGCCAGTGTACCCGCTACAGAGTCGCATCAACGATGTGATTTTCATCATGCACGAGGCTCGGAACGCACCTAAGGTTCGGGAGCTGTGTCGTGAATGGCTGGCGGGTCGGGGCGTTGTGATTGACAATGTGGAGATACTTGCGTTGACATGCCTTGTAGCATACTTGCGTTGAGATGCCTGAAACATATTATGGCGAGAGGCGCGAAGCGAGCAGCTGGTCACCTACAGTGCCTGAACGTGTGGCACGGGGTTGTGGAGGAGGAGCTGTACAGGTGAGCAGTGGTACAGGTGAGCAGTGGTACAGGTGAGCAGTGGTACAGGTGAGCAGTGGTATAGGTGAGCAGTCGATGCATTGAGACGCCTGTGAGAATCCATGCGTTGAGTTGAGGGATGCATTGGAGATCATAAGTAAATCCTTCCTTTCCCCGTTTGCCTTTTCACTGCGCCCACAGATGGCCCAACCCAATCATGTAACTTTCGAGTCGACTTCAACAGATGTCAACTCATTCTTACGCTACTTTACTTCCTTTTCCTCCCTTCCCGCAGGTCCGTCCTGGTGCTTGCACTGCGCCCCTAGGTGCCCCTACAAGATGGTTTTTTAGTCGATGTGTTAGTAACAACTCACTCTTACGCTGCTTCTCTTCCGTTTTCCCCTCCCTGCAGGTCCGCCCTGCACTAGTTGGTGCTTGCACTGCGTCCTCAGATGACTTAACACAGTGGCTTTTAAGTAGACTGAGATGTCAAGTCACTCTTATGCTGCTTATCTCCCCTTTTCCTACCTGCAGGTCCGCCCTGCACTAGTTGGTCCTCGCACTGTGCCCCTCAGATTCCCAAGAAGAGCCATACAACATTCCGGTTTCAGGTCATCCCAAGAGGAATTGCCGTCCAGGAGCTGCTAACGTCAGGGTCTGCCCTCCTTATTAGGCTGTTTCAGGTGCTGATGGCATGATGGCATGAGGGCATGGGGGCAGGCATGGGGGTGTGATGGCAGAAATACGGTATGATGGCAGTGTGGATATGATGCAGTATGGGTGTTATGGCATGGGTGTGATGCCATGGTATGATGGCATGGGGGTAACTTAGCATTCTTCCATGCCCACACCGAGTATGGCTTATTCTGTCTGTAGTTCCATCCCTCTCCCTTCTCCCTTGTTATCCTACCTTTCTCCTTCCCTCTGTTCTGTTCTCCTCCAGGCTACATGGGATGATCACATTCACAGCGAGTCCTGGCGATCTGCTCGTCACTCCCCCATTGCACCACCCTTGTAGGCCCTTCACGCGCTACTCCTAACACACTGACAACACGGCAACAGCCCCTAAGAGGAGAAACGTTGCATTATTCTCTCTCTACTGTCACTTAAGATAGGTGCTGGGGGGGGGGGCGGCAGTGGGAATGGCAGAAATTGTTGCAAGAGTAGCAGGAGGAGCAGGAGGAGGGGAGCAGGGGATAGTGTGAGAGTGCTCCAGCATTGTTGCTAGGTCCTCTGTTGCTGCCTGAAGGGACTGGAGGGGATGTAGCTGCTACAGCTGCCTCTGCTGCAGCTGCCGCAGCCCTCCCCCTGTTGGGCCTGCTACAGCTGTTCCTGTGGGTGGTGGTGTCGCCGGCTGTAGCAGAGGAGCTGCTGTTCAGAGGGCTGCTGCTCACGGCCCTGCAAGAGAGGCTCGGCAGGAGGCTGGGTAGTGTGGTTTGACGATGTTTTTCCACTTTATTGGATGGGGCAGTCGTTCGGCTTTCCAAAATACAGCCTCTCTCCCCAAAGTCCAAAGTCCAATGCAACAGCACTCAGCCTGGGGGGGAGGGGGGAGGTGGGAGAAGGAAGGAGGGGGTTCCCTTCCTAGGGATTTTTTTATGGGAAAATTCTCCCCCACGGATTTTCTTCCCCGTGTATTTCTCCCGCCTTCGCGCGATGCCTTGTCCGAACGTCCGCAACGCACCAACCAAACCCTTCAGGTTCCTTGCTGGTCTGGTTTGGGAGCAGGTAGGGCAAGGCAACACTATCGTCCTGAGCGAGGCATTCACTGGTAGGTGCGCGTCTCTCTGATGTTGAGCCTCCAACTCTCTGTTCTAGGCCTTGCTAAAAGTGCTACCCTGAACATCCGTTTATTTGCCCTGAGCGGTCATGATTAATTTCTGCTGAAGCCCTAAAACCACAGGATGCCTTCGAAAACTTGCCCTGACAAATCAGGGCATTTTTTAAGATTTTGACGAGTTGCCCTGAGGCCTCAGGATGCCCCAAATCCTAGCACAGGTCCTGGTCAGAATGAGTCAGATTGACCCCATGACAGCTCATTCTGACTGGACGCGAAGGCATTGAGTCGCGCGAGGGTGAAGGGATTCGAAATTCTGAATGTGGGGATGCAAAATTGTGTTTTGTTACAGCGTTTCCAGTAAAAATAAAACAAATATTAAAGAGGGTGGCGCTGATAATCCGTAAGCCGTTAGGGGTGGACTTATAATCGAGGACTGGATATAAGCGCCATAAGCCTTTTATAAGCGCCGGCGCTTATCATAGGCCTGCGCTTCTATCCCGGGGCTTACGGTATACGGTAGTTGTATATCTTTTTTTCAGAAGCCAGATACGGTCGTCCAAGAATCAGCAAGTATACGTTTTCTGTCGTGCCTCCTTAGTGGTGTGGACCACATGACAGCTAGGGGAGAAGCTATAGCTAACATGTACTGTAAGCCCCCGGATAGAAGCGCATGCCTCGGATAAGCGCCGGCGCTTATAAAAGGATGACGGCGCTTATATCCGGTCCTCAATTATAAGCCCACCCCCTAAAAAAATATGATTTATTATGAGCGCATGTTGTTTTTTTCATTTGAAAACCTGACGAAATACAGAAACAAGTTTCACATTATCAGGGAAACAAACTACAAATTCGATTTCCCGCACTCTGATCTCACTTTTTGCGCGTCTAGTCAGCATGTGCTGTCATTCTCTCAGTTTGAGTTGGCGGGGAATCACTCCCTGCCAAGCTGCGCGAGAATCAGATTCGCGACCCTATATGTTTTCGACTCGATTACAATCGGCAAAACGAGATCTACAGTTTGGTGTAAAACATATAGAAATTATTTTTGCCATTTTATAAATGCCGGCGCTTATAAAATTCCTCGATTATAAGTGCACCCCATGTAAATACATCGCATGCTCACCTGTATCGTTGTTCCTCCACAGCCCCATGCTCCACGTTCAGGTACCCAGATGAGCAGCTGCTCACTCCCATCCCCTTGTATTTCAAATCATGTCAATGCATTCCATGCTCACTTGTATCGTTCCTCTTCCAAAACCCCGCATTCCACGTTCAGGAACTGCGGCAGACAGCCCAAAGCTCTCTTCCCGTCCCCCTGCCTCTAGCAGAGATGTCACCGCCCCCAGATGTGCCTCCTGCACCCATCTCACAGCTGGCACTCCTGCTGGCCAAGTATGAGAGGGTAAATTACCCTCGCTCTCATGCCTCTCGCTTCCTGATGTCATCCTCTTCTGCCGCGGAACATTCCTAGAAAGCTCGTCCAGCATCTCAGGGTACTTCTGAACAAACAACCAATGAAACGCCGACAGGTGTCGAATCAGGAATGGTGGTCTCACTGGAACCAGGTTCCCACTCCACTGCTGCTTCCCTCACCTCGTCAACCACTGCTGCCACTGCTGGCTCAGTTGCCCCTGCCAATACTGCAAACACTGCATCTTTCAACCCGTTCACCGCTTTCCTTCTTTCACTGGTACTGCATCTGTCCTCCCCATTATTAGAGGTATACAGGGAAGGCCCCAGACTGATTGGTCATGAAGCAGAGTGACTGCTGCACGCATTTCTTCCCCTCTCCTCATAGCCTCCTCTTCTCTCTCCTTCCGTTCTCTCTCCTTCCCTTTTCGCACATCCCTTTTTCCCTCCTCCCTTCCCGTTCCGCTCCTTCTCGCCCCTCCCCTCCTCGCTCCTCCCCATCTCTACCTGCTCCAGATAAGCACTCCTGCTCGCCTTGACGCGTTACAAGACGATCCACTTTTTGGAAGAATGCAGATTCATGCACCTTGAGTGAGAGCTGGGCCAGATACAAGTCAAATTCAGCTTCATCCACCATCACTCTCTCCTCCTCCAAACTGTTCCCCGTGTCCCCCCATCCTCGTCCCACTCCTTCCACCTCCTCTTCTCTCATTCTAATCCAGCCATCACCTTTCCCCCTCCCCGTCCTGATCCTCTCCCTGCTCGTCCTCTGCAACAGCAGTCGTCCAATCATCCCTTTCGGAACCTCCTCTCTCTTCTCCCCTCACCCAATTTCCTCTCTCTCCCCTCTCTCCCCTATCCCAATTCCCCCTCTCTCCCACACTCTCCCCTCTGTCCCTGCACCTTACACAGCTCTCCCCCCTGCCGCCTCCCCTCCAGCACCTGTTTTAAGAGAAATCAAAGAGAGCAGCAGAGCCCATAGAACAGGACCCCCTACCTCCCCTGTTACAATCGCCTTCCCACCATCTATCGTCCCCCCCCCTAATACTCCCCTCTCCCCGTCCCCATCCCCCCAACAGTGGTTGATGCAGTGGTGATTTCTGAAGAGAGGGGATAATGCGGAGAGACACACACAGACATTAGGCATTGGCGCACACTGCACACCCTCTCACTCAGGCATGGACTCTGCTGCCTGCAGCACACCTGAAACCGAAGTAGCCTATCAGCAGCAGCCCTACAGTTTGACCCCAAACCTTTTCTCTTTGTTCCGAGTCAAGATGGACGGGCTTCTCTCTATAATCCCACCCAGCTTGTCCACAGGAACCCCTGCTTTCTCCACCAGAATGTCCAGGTTCGTTGAACGAGCCTCCCAGCGAAGTAAGTTGCGTACACGTCGGAGCACCAAACCCAATCTGCTTCGGCGAACGCCTTGAGCCAAAAGGAACTCAAGGGTGTTTTGAAGTTGTGGAAGGGAGACTCGGAGTCAGGCTGGTCCTTTCTCAGTGATGTGGACGATGTCGGCATGAGATATGCCGTACGACTGGAGGAGACGGACACGTGGCAGGAAGTCATTGGTGGGATTGGAGCGGAGTTGGGGTTTGGAGGCGAGAAGGGAAGCGACAGTGAAAGGGGAGGAGATACCGAGGTGGGAGGAGAAGAAGCTGTAGAGGGAGAGGAGGGAGGAGAGAGTGGTTGCACGTGCGGAGCGAGATGGGGTGCCTGGTGAACCCTTTTCACTCGCTTCAGCTTCTACTTCCTCTTCCTTCATTCCTGTCTCCATTATATCCTCCTCCTCCTCCTCCTCCTCCTCCTCCTCCTCCTCCTCCTCCTCCTCCTCCTCCGCCGCCACTTCTTCCTCTCCCTCCACCTCCTCTTCCCCCTCAGTCGCACAATCTGAGGTCCGAACTTTTCCATCAACACTTGAGCAATCAGTGCCACTGCCTCCTCCTCCTCCTCGCATCCTTTCTCCCCTGCACTCTTACTCCCGCTTCTTACATTTTTTTTTCTTCGTTTCCCCTGCACTCCTCCCACGCCTCTTACCCCCACCCGCCTTACTCCCCCCCTGCTTTTCCCCAACTATCCCAACGATCTCCTCCATTTCTCCCTCCCCCTCTTCCCCCTCAGCTTCCCCCACTCCACGCGTCTCAACCTTCGATCCAACGGTCAGTGCCGGCTCGCTATCGGCTTTCAATTGTATTTCGGAGTTTGCTACCTTCTCCTCTGGTGAGTCTGCTGGCGCGGAGTTTGCACCTGATTGCAACCCTCCCGTCAGGGGTTCGAATCCTGACGGCGGCTTTCCGTGTAAGATGGTCCTGTGGGGCGAATCTGAGCTGGTACGGCCTAGGCCATGAAGAATAAGCATATCTGAATGGTTCTCCGTGGTTCTTATTGAGAAGTTTGCACGGATGGACATAAAAGGATCTCGTGTAGTCTAAGCTCCGAATCGTCGCGACTAACGGGGACGATGAAGGAACAAGGCACGCCATGGCGAGCAGGAGAGGAACCGAAGGAGATATATGATCTAGAAGAATAGTTCGCGGCCAACTTGAGAGCTCCAGAGCGGTTCGTCGATTTAGGACATTGATTTTTCGCAAATACTAGGAATCGCTAATCTTCCTTGTAGTGGATAACTCTGTATGAAAAGCTCGTACTCGCCCGTCGAGTGTTGCTCCTACAAAGGAACGGAGCAATTCTGCTGCTGCTATGGAGCAGATGAATGAATGGGTCCACACCACACATTCGAATGAGCATACTATAGCAACTGCTATGGTGACTGGTGAGTTCTGCTGCTGCACGACTTGGAAGGAACCTTGGTTTGATCTTGGGAATTTCATGCCTTGGGAGATGCACCTTGGAAGTGACGCCCCAGGAAAAGAGCCAGAGGAGATTCGCGAATCTAAAATGACGCAGTTTTGGGCTCGAAAATGTTACACGTGAAATTGTAGTCGTGTACTTCGCCGCCTTTAAGATCTGCATCAATTCTTTCCATTCAGTCCTATGACAGGCGTGAAGTACCTTGTAGGACCTAGCAAAGCAGACTAGAGAGACTATGAATATTGCTGGAATAAGCAATATTGATTTTGCGCGGCATAGAGCTATTCTTGACAAAATTTTGGTACAAAACTACAAACACTGCTGATAGGAAGACATATGAGCCCTTTCTTGCTAGACAGAACCAGCACCTGTAGCCATGAGCGCATAGAGAAGGGCAGATGCATTATAGGTGGTATGCAAGGCGACAGCTGGCAGCACGCTATTGGAGTAGACGGCGAGCAGGCCGGCGGCAATCCCAAGGGCCATGTTGGGGAAGAGCAGGGAGAGAGAGAGGTGGAAGAGGGCGAAGAGGGCTGCAGACAGCATGGCAGCATCGATCCTGAGGGAGTGAGAGGCAGGACAGGGGAAGGATACAGAAGACGATATTAAGCGTGTACAGATAGGGGAGGATTTGGATTGATATGAGTGTGGGCTATGGGGAGGTTGCAGCAACGGAGCATTGCCAAATCCTGCCGAGCCTCTCACCTGCCGAGCCTTTCTTGCAGGGCTGTCAGCAGCAGCCCTCTGAACAGCAACTCCTCTGCTACAGCCGGCGACACCGCCACCCACAGGAACAGCTGTAGCAGGTCAAGCAGAGGCAGGGCTGCGACAGCTGTAGCAGAAGCAGCTGTAGCAGCCACGCCCCCTCCGGTCCCATCTGGCAGCAGCAAAGGACCCAGCAATAATGCTGTGGCACTAACATTATCCCCCCCTCCTCCTTCTAATCCTGCTGCCAGTTCTGCTATTCCCCCTGCCGCCTCCCCTCCAGCACCTGTTTTAAGGGAGATTAAAGAGAACAGCAGAGCCCATAGGACGGGACCCCCTACCGCCCCTGCTGCAATTGCCTTCCACCAGCTATCGTTTTCCCCTGCTATTGCTTCCTTCACCCCGTCCGCGTCCCCCTTACCTCCCCAATCCCCAGCTCTTTCCCCCTCCCCTCCGCCACTCCCCCGCGGCAGCTGCAGCTTGAGGGTTGCGCGGAGGGGGAACCCGCGGTCGCGGCACCAGGAGAGCGCGGGGAGGACGAAGAACAGCCATTGGACGAGCGCGAGCAGGAACGGCGCGGATTGCGGAGGCGCGGCGCGGAGGATAGGGCCCAGCGGAGAGAGGTCTATGAGCGCGATTAAAGTGATTAAAGACAGGCAGAACCAGGTGATTCCGTCTTGGAAGGAGGGGGAAGGCGGCGGGGAGGAGGGCGGGGATGGGGGGAGTGGAGCGCCGGGAGGGGGAGGAGCAGGGGAAGGGGGAGCGGGAGGAGAGGAGCTGGCGGAAGGGGAAACAGGGAAGACGCGGGGGGAGCTAGCGGAGGTGTCGCGACTACTAGAGCGGCCCGCGAAGCGCGCGGGAAACGGAGGGGGAAGGCGAGTCTTCTCAGAAGGTATACGGCGACTAACGGCGCTACGGCCCGCGGAGGGCGCCGACGATGGGAACGGGGGAAGCCTAGCTGTTCCGAAAAGGTTACGGCGGGTGCTACTGGTGCTAGGTCCCCCGAAGGGCGCGATAGAGCTGAGAGAACGGCAGTAGAATGTGGCCATAAGAGGCTCTTCTGCAGAGTCACTCTGATATTTCGGAAATACGAGATAATAGCACTTGTTTGTTCTCCGCAAACGCTCGAAACTAGCGGCGTTTGATGTTCCGATAGGACGCGCCTTCGACGCGTGGAGATGCCAAGAATAGATTTGACACCATGCCCTGACGGAGATTTTGACGGGATTTTCTCGTCCTGGTGGATGCAAGCATCGGAAATTCGCGCCATTCTCACTAGCCCCAGAATTCTCCCAAGACAACGGCCTAGTAACGCGTATGGGAAAGTGCAGCATCATTCTAATCCCTTTGTAGTGCTACATTATAGTTGAATGAACATTTCAATATTGCCAATACAAGAATTTGAGATGTAATATTCGGGTTATGTTCTTATTATTTATTAATATATATATATATATATATCCCTGGCGTGGAAATTAAGCTCACATCTGTACATTGTAGTGCACCCCAATTCCAACATGGATCAAAGCAAATTACCGATTTACCATGTGCACTTCAGTCATTTCTGCAAACCTCCATGATACAAACTTCATGTGCAAACTTCTAGATTCAGAGACCTGGCTGTAGCAGCCACAGACCATGTGGGGTCCCGTGTTTCCCGCCGTCATTTTAGGGGGCGCCGTATTTTACGTAGTTAAGCGGCTCGCCAGGCCGCGAAAAGCGCTGAGTCTCGAATGGGAGACTGGTCGGCGGAAAGCGCGGCAGCCGCACAAGAAGCCTCCCTCGTTCTACGTAAGTTTTCCTTGAGAAATTCGGCGACTTTTTTCGTAGCTGGTCCGTCAACTGGTCCGTCAGTTTGTCCGTCACGTCGTTCGTCAGTGTCCGTCAGTCAGTACGATTGTCAAACAGTAGGCAGAAAGCACGATAGCCGTACACGTCTCCACCCCCCCTCCCCCTCCCCACCTTCCATGGATTTGTCTGAAAAGTACTGTGTGTGGATTCGCGTGGGGAGGATCTGACTTTTGAGTCCACAGGCATCTCACAGCGTGGCTTTATCTCAAGAGTGGCTTCATCTTAAGACTAATGTGTGAATCTTCGTGATTTTTTTTTTCCAAGGAGCTGCTCACCAACGAGTAGATTGTTTCAAACAAAAGGACACCCCCGCCCGTCGCATGCCGGTTGCTTCGAACAGAACGACTTGACACCCCCGCCCGTCTCTCGCCTTAGCGTCATGTAATCGTCTCTCTGCTCCCCTTTTCGAAATGACTCTCTCTTGTCCAGGCCACGCGCGGCGTGGCTTCGGCTGAGGAATACTTTATCAACTTACAGAGCGTCGATCTGCTCACCAAGGAGTGGCTGCCCAGTGACGGGCGGCTGAGAGGCTGAGAGGCTGAGAGGCGTGGTGCTGTTTGCCAAGAAAGGAGATGCCTCTGGCTCTTCCGCTGGCCCTCCACTCCTCTCCCACCTGTTCTCCCTCGCTTCTCCCAGGCTGCTCAAGGCGTGGCTTCTTCAGAAGAGTACTTCATAAACTCACGCGGAGTGGAGCTGCTTACCAAGGAGTGGTTGCCCAGTGACGGCCGGCTGAGAGGCGTGCTGCTGTTCTGTTCTGCCTTTTCATGCCCTGCCTTTCCCTCCCCCAGGCCGCACAAGGCGTGTCTTCTTCAGAAGAGTATTTTATCAACTCGAGGGGAGTGGAGCTGTTCACCAAGGAGTGGCTGCCCAGTGACGGGCGGCTGAGAGGCGTGGTGCTGTTCTGCCATGGGTACGGGGAGACCTGCACGTACATCTTTGAAGGTGGGAAATGGGTATGGATGTATGGGGGTGTGTGATCGTGTGCCTGTGGGTGGAGAATGGTGGGGCACCGCTGTTAGAATTTATATAATATAGCATGCGAACACTTGTGACTGTACACCAAGAGTGGTGTACAGTTGGGTTGGTTCAGGCTCTAGTTTTGGGTGTATTGCGGGTAGACACCCTAATTGGGGTGAACCCAAATATCCTAGCTTAGACTTGGCTCCAACCTTGTTGGCCAAATGGGGCAACCAACTTTGGTTGGTTGGCCACCACCCCACTAGGGTTGGTTGGATGGTCCTTCCTCCCACTAGCCTACTTGGTCTTGGTGTCTTATGTGCTAGGTTTGGTGTTCTTCTCCAACCTTCTCTCCCTTGTATAATCTTGTGCTCTCTTGAGCTAACATCATCAATTCTTCCTCAAGTTTCTATAGCTCCTAGATTCTTTCAACCGCAAGCCATTGAGAGGCGTGGTGCTGTTCTGCCATGGGTACGGGGAGACCTGCACATACATCTTTGAAGGTATGGGTCTGATGGGTATGGGGGTGTGTCTGGGTGCAAAACGGTGTGGGGCATGTCAACCCTCTGAGGGGCGTGGTGCTGTTCTGCCATGGGTATGGGAAGGCGTGCACGTACATCTTTGAAGGTATGGGCGCAGGGTGGGTTGTGCATGTGGGGCGTATGGGTATGCTGGCAGCAGCAGGGTATGTGGCTGAAATTGCCAGAAAGTGACATACTCTCTTCTTCCATGTGCCACTGTCTGCACTCATCGCCCCCCCTCCTCTTTCCCTTCTCCTCCTATCAGACGTGGCAGTGATGCTGGCAGCAGCAGGCTATGCGCTGGTGGGAGTATACTACGAGGGCCACGGGCTGTCAGGTGGTCACTACGGGTACACATTCTTTCGGTCCCCTTCTCCTCACTGTCTCTTATTCCCCTTCTGTTCCCTTTAGACGTGGCAGTGATGCTGGCAGCAGCAGGCTATGCACTAGTGGGAGTGGACTACGAGGGCCATGGCCTGTCAGCCGGTCACCACGGATACACCCTTCCAAGTAACCCCCCCCCTCCATTTCCCTCTGTCGTCCCTTCCTCCCACTGTCCCTTTCAGACGTGGCGGTGATGCTGGCAGCAGCAGGCTATGCGCTGGTGGGAGTGGACTACGAGGGTCACGGGCTGTCAGCAGGTCGCCACGGGTACATCCGCAGCTTCACACGCCTGGCAGACGATGTGATTGAGTTTGCCAACAGGCTGAGAGGTAAGCAGAGGAGTTCAGTGCGGTAAATGGGACGAGAGAAAGGGGATAGCGAGGGAGGGCCACGGCCGGTCGGGCTGTCAGCTGGTCGCCACGGGTACATCTGCAGCTTCACTCGCCTGGCAGATGATGTTATCGAGTTCGCCAACCGCTTGAGAGGTAGGGAGAGGAGTTGAGTGCGGTGGAAGGGGTTGAGGTTCAGTGCGGTGCTGGGAGGAGGGAAGGGGGAGAGCGAGGGGCATGTGCTGTCAGCTGGTCGCCACGGGTACATCCACAGTTTCACACGCCTGGCAGATGATGTGATTGTGAGTTTGCCAACCGGCTCAGAAGTAGTTCAGAAGTGGCAGAGTAGTTCAGCTGCCACTTCCCTCCTAATCCGCCACTTCCCTCTCCCCCTCCTCCTTACCCTCCCCCTTCTTTTCCCCCAAGCAAGCCCTAGATTCGCCCATCTGGCGATATTCATGTATGGTGAGTCCATGGGAGGGGCGATGGCGGTACAAGTCTTTCTAGTTGACTCAAAACACGCTTCCTCCTTCCCCACCCCCACCCTCCCGCTTTTTTCCCCCAGCAAGCCCCAGATTCGCCCAACTGCCGTTTTTCCTCTACGGGGAGTCCATGGGAGGGGCGATGGCACTTCAAGTGTCACGAAGAGACCCCACCCCCTGGAACGGAGCAGTGCTGGTGGCGCCCATGTGCAAGGTCAGTGCAACTAACGTTGTGTGTGCAGTGCGGTGTAGTGGGATAATAAGTGGTGCAGAAGGGTGTTTTGTGGTGGATTCAGTGTCACGAAGAGACCCCACCCCTTGGAACGGAGCAGTGCTGGTGGCACCCATGTGTAAGGTCAGTACGAGCCGGAGGTATGCTGTGCGGTGTAGTGTGGTGAATTGGGGTTGTGCGTGGTGCAGAATTGTTGTGTTCTGTGGTGGATCCAACACACACCTCCTCCTCCCAGATGGCCCAAGAGCTAACCCCCCCGGCGCCAGTCATCTTCATTCTCAAATGCCTCTCATCTATCTTCATCCCCTTCCCTCGTTCTCCCCCCCTTCTTCCGCTCTTCCTCCTCCCTCGCTCCCTGATGTCTCAAGAGCTAATCCTGCCAGCACCAGTGTTCGTCGTTCTCAGATGCCTCTCATACATCTTCCCCACATCTTCCCCACATCTTCCCCACATCTTCCCCACCTGGAAGCTGGTGCCTGTCAGCCCCTTGCTCCTATCATCCTCATTCTCACCTCCCTCTTCTGCACTACTTCCATCCCCTTCCCCCCAATACTCCTCCCTCGCTCCCAGATGTCGAAAGAGCTAATCCCCCCTGCGCCAGTGATCTTCGTTCTCAGATGCCTCTCATACATCTTCCCCACATCTTCCCCACCTGGAAGCTGGTGCCTCTCCTGTATCATTCTTTCTCTCTCCCCCATCCATTCCTCTTCTGTCCTCCCTCCCAGATGGCTCAAGAGCTGATTCCCCCTGCACCAGTGATCTTCGTTCTCAGATGCCTCTCATACATCTTCCCCACCTGGAAACTAGTGCCTGTCAGCGCCAACCCTGACGTCTGCTTTCAGGTGAATACAACAGAGAACCTCCTTCAGGTGAAAACAGGGACAGATGCCATGTCAGTGACCGCCGCTGTATGATTCATATGCCATTCCATGCGTGCATGCCTGCTGGTGGTATTTCGAGGCCTCGTGATAAAGTTTGAGTTTTGAGACGTCTCAAAACTTTCCTTTTATCACACCGCCGCTGCATGTTTCCTATGCTATTCCCATGCTGCGTCCATGCCTGCTGCTGCCGCCGACGTCCATGCCTGCTGGTGGTTTTCCCAGACCTCACAAGCCTCATTTCCCATGCTATCATGTGGGTGTATGGCTGCTCTGCTCGCGTTTATGGTATGGCTGCTCTGCTCGCGTTTATGTGTGCGTGTGCACACCTGAGCAGGTGCCCGAGAAGCGGGAGAGGGCGGAGAATCACCCCTTCGCATATCAGGACAAGCCCCGCCTCGCCACGGCACTGCAG